TGTAGTGTTAGGTTCTAGTGCATCTACCATCCACTTACAGAAAGAGACTTTATTTTATCTTGGTAAAATGTCTAATATCTGAAAGTGAGATGCAGAAATTTAATGCAAGGAAATTATAGCTCACAGTGACCCAAGCTGAAGAATGGAGTATGCGGTCTAAGCCTAGGTTAGCAATAACATGATTCTGAATATTTTTGGCTGATGTGTATAGGAGGGACTTCTATAAACAAGTTCTGTTTTTCAGTCCCCTAAGGAACACTATTGTCATTCCAATGAGAATGTAGTCTATGAATCATTTGTAGATCTTTGTAGTAATGGTAATAACGGAATTCTAGGATGAATGTTCTTCCTGTTGCCATGAACAAAACTTATTCTGGAAATCAGGATAGCAATAGGAAAAACTTTCAGAAAAGTGACAGTAAACATAAAGCAAGATTTAAAAATTTCTGCAACAATAATCATTTTTTAGAGAATGGAGTTCTAGGATGTTAAGTTTTAAAACTTAATGTCTAATGTATGTGATCAAGTCACCAACATAGGCAGTATGTTGTATAAAATGTATGATCATGTCTTATGAAGGAATAAACCATAAGATTATAATGTTTAATTTCTCAAACTGCTTTAAAGGATATATATATATTTGATCTTCAGAAGGAGGAAGAAGGGAAGCTAGCTCTGCCAGAATTGAAAATTCAAGTGGTCAGTTATTCTGTCATGAATTAAGAGAGCTGGAGGCAACTCCAACTGTTTGAGGGTTTGCCAAAGAGCCAGATGCTGTTGTGCAAAATAACTGAAATAGATGGGCACCTAGGGCACCTGGGGACTGCTAACTGCCATTTAAAATCATGAGTATAAGCAATACATTGTGCAGCTGGGCAAATAACTTCTTGATATTTCATTAGGTCACAGTAATACTTGTACAAGAGTATAATCTGCAAGTTATACTCCGGTATGTAGGGAGGCATTTGTACCTCATTGGAATGGGGGAGATCTCTGCACTTTGTATATACAACAGATGAAATAGCATGAAGTGCACCCTGAAAATGCAGAAGATTGGGGGGCAGAGGTGTGGGAATAAGTTTTGTAGCTTCTGAAGCAAATGCAAAGTGGGAGTACTTCTACGGATAAATGTCTATTCAACAGCTATGGCTATGGTTTTTTCACTTGGTATTTATCATACTTTTTATTTATTGACTTAATGAGAACATCCTCTAACAATAGAGGGAAAGTATGAAAATCAAATCTTACTCGTGAAGGCAATTAAGTGCACAAATCTCGTAGAATATGAAGGATACTAACTTGCTAGGTGCTTTAAGAGAATATCTTTAGTGTAAATGTAAGTGACAAGCATTAAGTTTTCCCGCCAAGTGCTAAGAGTGACATGAAAGACAAGAAGATATGTTTCAGGTCTCATTAGCTAAATGTGGAAACACTGATGCAAGTAACTAAGTTGACAGGACAAATTCAGCTGGCTTGAAAGTGATAGTGGTTAGATGTCAAAATTCCAGCTCCTTGTAACAGTTGCAGTTGTATTTGAAGTTCAATCTACTTAATTTGGCGTAACACATGTCTGAATGCATTATGATGCGCTATATGCTGATCATGTCTTATTGAAGTTGTACAGCATACTGCCTACTAAGATCTGCTGTGCACATATATGACAAAATCATGTTGGATATGTCACCTTGTTTGCCTAAACTTTAAGGTGATAAAAGAAATTGTTTCAGTGATCCCAGGAAGGTCAGATCAAAGTTTAGGGGTAAAGTAGAAGTATAATGCCTTGATGTCATGTGAATGTCATGTGATGTCTGTGAAAGCTTAGTCATTGGTTTTTGGTCTTCCAGATGGCATACAAGATGAATAAAACAATTTTAATACATTAGTGATTGGGAAAAATCATTAAAGCCTCGTTTACAGCTCTTTCAAATTTCAATCTTTGTCAATTGATACAGCAAGTTGTAGTGTATTCAAAGGCCAGTATTGACATTTGACACTTAAAATGTGGCCCTACTTCAGGGTATGAAAAATGCTAGCTGTAAGGCTATATTGGACATTTTTTTCTTACAGCTGTGAAAAGTAGGATGTAACCATTGATTTTAAATTACAGATTCTCGTACTCAATAAGAATCTATAATATAACAATACCAGAGAGGCTATATAGGAAGCAGAATATGAAGTTAGCCTTAGTTCTGTACTAGGTACT